GATTTCGCAGTTCAATTCTGCTTTCGCTGTAAGTTTTCATTCCACGAGAAGCGACGCTCGAGTCAAGTTTGACAGTGGCGTGATTTTCCAGGACCAATCGCAATTCTTTGCTACGTATAGCAACCAATGAGATTGCTTCACTTTATATAGACAATAGATTACGTCAGATGGCTTTTTCGTGTTCACCAAAGTGGGTGAAGGCAGGCTTTCGAGTTATGTTGAAAGATTTTGAAATAAAAAAAGCTTTATCTGTAGTAAATTGTTTCGTTATTATATAAAACAAATAGATTCCATGTTGCCGTGGGTCTGTTCAGTAATAGATCAGAGAAGACGTCAAAATGTGATAAGAACATCAGTGACTTACTCGGCTATTGCCTCGTGTGCCACTTTTTTGTTCTTACCACATTTTCACGTCATCTGTGATCTATTACTGAACAGACGTACGCGTCATCACAGTGGTCAAAATGTTGTGGACTCACTCGGCTGCGCCTCGTGAGTCCACAACAAATTTTGACCACTATGACGACGCGTACTCGTACAGAGTACAGACCACACTAAACCACATTCGATTTGCTTTTTACCATAATATCAAAGATAACGAAAGAAATCTTTGTCAATATTTGTTTACAATTGAAAACACCGACTCGGACTTGAAAGTGCACGCGCTGCATTGTGCAAATGAGCTACTTGTACGCGTTAGACTTTCCTTTCAAAAACTTTTGCAAACTCGCTCAACATGCAGAAACAATAAGAAAAAATGTTTGGGAAAAGAGTAATGACGCGTAATCGTTGTCGATAAGAGTAGAGACCACGCTAAACCACACTTCGATTTTCTTTTACCACAATATCAACGTCAAAGAAAATGTTTTTTTGTTTTTTTCAGAGCGCGAGCTGAAAAAGGCATTGCGCGACACATTGACGCGAGCAGTGTGGTATGGACACTTATCGACAACGGCAAATTAGCCAATCAGATTGCGAGATTAGCAGCAATTGTTGTAAAAACATGTTTCAATCGTTCAATGATCATCTTCAGTTTTGAATTCGTGCACGAGTTCGGTTGAATCAATACAAGCAATGGCGTATAACTAAAACGTGATACAATTTAAAATTTCGAAAAAATTAACGTACAATTTTAAGAAGCGCGAGACATGGAATAACACTTGCGCGAGCACTACACTTCTTAATACAAGGAAGAAAATTGTACAAACTAGAACTAATTACAATGATTATAACACAAATGTTATGAACAAAAAATATAAAATAAACCGGTACTAAATAAGTGTATATACATAAAGAGTAATATCAGAACGAGAGAGTTCAGTCAGCATGTTTCAGCTGCTTATTTAAAGTTGGATTCTCCCATTTGATGTGCATTGCTTCCTTCAACATAAGTTGTAGTTTCTTGGGTGCACAATCCACGATGGAAAAGCACTGCTTATTAGCTAAACACCAACATGCCTGGGATTGCTGCAAATGCTGATATACGTGTGAGTTCCTGTCCCTGCTCAGATGCTCACGAACGCCCATCGAGAGATGTCGGCTAGTCTCGCCGATGTAACAGGCATTACATCCCGCACACGAAAACTTGTAGACAACGCGCGAACGGAGATCGAGAGGGACAGGTTCCTTAGCATTAAACATACTAACAAATTTAAAAAAAGAAAAAGCTAACTTAATTTCAATGTTTGTACAACAATGCTGAACGAGTTTGTGTAGCCTTTTCTGTGTTTCTCCAGTGAAGGAGCCTACACTTAAATAAGCAGCTGAAACATGCTGACTTAACTCTCTCGTTCTGATATTGTTCTTCATGTATATACATTTATTTAGTACCGGTTTATTTTATAGTTTTTGTTCGTAACATTTTGTGTTATAATCATTGTAATTATTTCTATTTTTTTTTACTGTTTTCTTGCTTGTATTAATTGTAGTGCTCGCGCAAGTGTTATTCCATGTCTCGCGCTTCTTAAAATTGTACGTTAATTTTTTCGAAATTTTGAATTGCATCACGTTTTAACTTATACGCCATTGCTTGTATTAATTCACCGAACTTGTAAACGAATTCACAACTGAAGATGATCGTTGAACGATCGAAACATGTCTTGTTTTAAACTTAAAGTTGTTGTGTATTTCTTAAAATTATGTAAATATATCTTAAATTGGATCAGTGGTCTATGAACTTTTTGAATTTTAAACTTACTTCCAACTATGCGTTGGCTTTTCATTTTCTCCTGCTGGGACTCTGTGGGAAATGTAATTACCAGGTATGTAAGGGGAAGGTTTGGGTAAACAAAACAATCATTTACAAAATCTCAAACTGGATGACTTAAAACAAATAAAACAAAAATTGTGTAGTGCCAAAACTTGCCAATTAAGCAAACAACTAAGTTATCAACTGCAATTTTTTTTTTTTTTTAACTTAAGGGTTTTGTTTCGGACTAAGTTAAATCTTTTTCGCTATTGAATTGGGGAATACAATGGACTCTCTAACAACGACTCTGCAAAAGTTAAATTGTTAGATTAACAACTGATGTAGCAAGTGTGCGTATATATATGTTATTTGCTGGCTGGGAGGTCCGTATAGCGAAAAACTGTGACGGCCTCGGGCAGCATTTTCAAGCCCGAGGTCACAGTTTTTCAATATACGGACCGACCCTACGCCGGCAAATAACATGTTTATGTTGTTGTTGTTGTTGTTGTTTTTCTTCTTTTTTCTTTTTTTTTTCCGCGATAAATTGGTTTTACAGATTACAAATGAGTTTGTTTACGCAACTTTGTCATTGAATCGGCTTCCGCGCCGTCTACTAACGATTTGTAAAAAACTTTTCGCAACGAGCGAGTAACTCGTTGTAGCGAGTAAAGATGTAATAAAGAACAGATTTTTTTCGAACTACTTTATATTAGTTGCATTTATTTCACCAGTTAAATTCTCCAAAATTTGTTTCTGCGGTGTGAAATTTCCTGCGAAGTTTGAAGTTTTACTACAAAAACAATTTCTCTCAGTCGTTCCTTTTAAAATCACTTGAAATCAGACTTTTCTACCGTAATTTGAATGGCGGAAAGCGAGGAAATTCGTGAAGTGTATTCCACAGAAATTCTCCTAAATACAGGAACGATCAGAGAGGTTAACTCGACTGAAATTGACTCAAATTTTACGGCGAGAGAAACAGGATTCCGCGCCATTACAGCGCCAACCTACAAACAACCAAGCAAACTCTCACAACTTCAAAACACTCAATTGAATTTACTTACAGTGACTTTCCTCGCCATTTTAAAGTGAGCAGAGATGAACTTGCGTTGACTAATCGTCGATGGATGTGTAAAAGAGGCAAAAGATTGACAATTACCGCTAACTTTTAGGAGCGAAATTTAGGCAGTGGGGAAAAAATCCGGCCCGTGGGCCGCATCGTAAAAAGCTGGACCGGTCACGTGCGTATGATTAGCCAATCAAATTCGAGGATTAAGGATTCCGGCCCGCTCAGATGCTTGAGAAAAAA